CCATCCTCTGTTGCCCTGCCAGGATGACTTGCCCACATTAGAGCAAAGGAATACGCACATACGTACATGCAAACCGAGACACTCATGTCACTAGACCCCCCATCCATAGGAATGGCATGGGTCCTCGTCAAGGAGGGGCGGACGTATCGATTATCATACATCCATCGGGTGGAGATGCACGCGGCTGCCTGGTCCTGCTCTCCAACAACTCTTGATATATAAGAGCCTCGAGCATGCCTGAGTGATCTGGTATCTAGATCTTGGACCTCATTCAGAAAGACATTGCAGACAAGAACAACTTGATTGAACATCACTGAGACATCAATTGGCTTCCTATACACCTACACCATCATCTTCAACACACCGAATTCGACGGCATCTTTACCACACACCTTAATTGATCATCTCTCCCGCTCTGTCTCTCTTCGACATACTTTTTTTTTAAAATTTTTTTAAAAAAAAGTGTATGACCGCATTTGATCAATTGGTTCAAAATGTTCAGTACATTTAAATACGACCCCGAGACTCGTGAAGTCCAAGAACTTCGCAGCGCCTTTGATCCCGTCACGGCTCGCTCAAGCCAGCACCAAGCCTGCAACAACTGCCACGCCAAAAAGGTAAATCCCCTCCTCCGCCTGTTCATTTTGGAACACCAAGGCTAACAAAAAAATCGAATAGCTCAAATGCAGTGGTGAAAAGAGCGGATGCGAACGTTGCGCCACCAGCCAACTCGTCTGTGAATACACTCGCTCCAACTCGCGCTCCTCCCGCCGCGGCAAGAAGGCCAGCGGCCGGAGCTCGACCGACAGTCGTACCAGCGGCGATCATCTTGCCGGCGACAGCAGTCCCGGTAGCCAATCTGGCAGCAAGCCCTCCACTTCCACCTCTTCAAGACACCAGCAAAAGGCCAGCCGACGTCACTCGAGGCAAGCCGGCGGAAAGGCGAGCTCTCTGTCGCCTCCTAGGGACACCACCATTCTCGACAGATTGGACCCGGCGCTCCTAGGGCCAGATGATGGGTTTGACCTGCGCTCCTTGTCCATCGGCAGCGAGCACGAGGCCACCATGGTCACAACCGGAGCAGAGTACACAGCCAGCGTCGCCGCCTACGCTTCCCACCATTCAGAGTACTACCCCCAACCACCACAGCAGCATGCGGGGAGCTGGCAGCACGCCTCTCAAGACTCCTACATCGTCACCTCAGCAGGCGTCGACCCTTCGTACCTCAGCACAGTCGGGCCAGAAGGCTACTCTGATCAAGAGTACTACGGGCAATACCCAGACTACACATCATACCAGCACCACCACGATCCTCGGTACTGGCAAGAGGAGCATTGACTATCCGTTCTTTAAAAGCCTCCCCTTTATCTTTTTTTTTAATGGGGTTTTCATATTCTTGTGAAAAAGATTAGAGTTGCCGAGCCCTGGCGGCTTTGGGCGAATAATGTGGCTATGATGGACGGATATAATACCCCCGAGGCGAAACCTGTACACACACACACACACACACGACACAAAACATTCATCTCTGGTGGGCCGGTGTTTGGACTTTTTTGGGAGACAATGTTTCTTTTTCTTCTTTTCTTTCTCTCTTTTTCTTTTTCTATAGGGTTAGATTTGTTTGTTTGTTTTTTTGGCCTTTGCGTTTCAGTTACGCTCTCACGGGAACTACTATTGTATAGACGAGGACGAAGAAGTCAAAAAAGCGGTTTAGATGGGATTTCGTTGATACGAGGGGAAGGGAGAGAGAGGGGATAGATGTATGGGCTATGCTGGTCATAATCTAGGTCACTTAATTGACAAATCTTGCTTTTATCGCCAGACAAGAAAAGACTAAAAAATTGAAAAATATCAAAAACTACAAAACCAGAACGAAAAACACGAAACCGTAACAAAGTGTGATCAACTACAAGGATCTCGTGATAACTGCCAAATCCAGCAACAACAATCGAGCCACGAAAATGATCAAGTCTTGGCCCCAAAAAAAAAGCCACATCTCCTCCCTTCCTTCTTATCATCCAGATCTGGAAATCTGAGTAAAGCATCTTCACCAAGCCCAGGGAATCATCCCAAAAGAAAATCCTCAACATATCCCCCGTCCCGGAACTGCTACCAAGACGGGACATTCTGCAGCCTCCCTTCCCACCCTTTCTTACTCTCTCCACAAGATCTACTCCTTCCCCCCGTCGTCAAGCGTGTGCCCCTCGTGGCAACAATCCCGATGAACGAGGGTGAAAGGAAGGGAGGGGGGTGTATGGCCTGTGTAAGGCTTGTGTAATGGGGGTGTATGAGAAACGAACCATCACATAATTCAGCCCTGCAAGAGCAAAGTGCCCAGAAGAGCAGAGCAAAGAAGCCCGAACAAAAGAAAAGTAAAAAAAAAAGCCTTGTGACTCCCACCCCGGGCGGGGGGACTAGACCATATCCATGGGATGCATCCTTTTTTGCCCCAAATTCCTAGAGAGGAGGGGGAAGGGGGAGAGAAAAGACATACACACCCATGTACGTGGGACCCCCCCTCAAAAAAAACCCCAATGGGGGGTTTCTGGAAGGAATCAATCTATGGAAGCTTTCCAAGCAATTCCTATTTTGAGCCATGGGTGCAAGCCTGCCACGTTGTTTTGAGGCCCATGGTCCTGCATCCTTCCTGGTCTTGGCAGGCATCATCTAAGACATGTTGTGTGTGGCCACGCATCTCGAGGCCAAGTCAGACCCAAAAAAAAAAAAAAAATCCGTAGGATCGAAAAAAGAGAGGAGGAGGGGCGTGTGTAAGATGGATGGATTGGGGAGGGGGGTCGTCATCTCTATGGGCTGTGTGGGTGGTATGCATCCTCGGGTGGTTCCATAATAAGTCCTATAGTAAGAAGCAGGTTGACCGTGCTTAGTAAAGATGCACATCTCTCACTTCCCAATATAGCCCCCGTTTCACAAAGCATAACAAACGCAACTAACCAACCAAACAAACAAACAAACTTGGGGCATCTCCTCCTTCGTCTTGCCCCAAACAAAGACGTAACCCAAAGCAATGGAACCACCCACGCCCCGCGGAAGCCGTACCCGCTCAACTCAACGTTCCCAGGTTTCAGAGCTTATTAGCAATCTAGGTTATCGATGTTGCATCTATTCCGTCATACCACTCCTCAAACTTGCCGCCCCCCTCCCCCTTCTTCCCTTTCTCCCTCCTGGGCGTTTGTTGGTTCCGACTTACCGCCCATGTCAATCACAGAGAGCATGCTGACGCCCGAACGCTTAAAAAGTAAAAAAGTTCGTACGGATAAAAAAAATCCTGCAAAAGCTTCCTTCCTTCGCTTTGTCGGTCTGTTCGCACGTCCGAACCAAAAAACCCCCTCCGAGAACTCCGAATTATTCAACCTCATATGTTTTTCGTATCAACTGCTTCCCAAAGTCGGTGTCAACTTGAATTCCGCCCCGGACTCTGTTTCCAAGTCTCTGAAGCCGGGAATGATAAGTGATTGTTACCTTGGGATTTTGTTATGGAGTCTTTTCATGGGAAAAAGAAAATCCTCGAATCCAGCTGCAAATGCGGAGCGGCCCGCGACCAAAAATCCATTGTTTGTACTTGTTTTGTGCTCGACCATGGAGTGAGTCTATGCCGGGACTAGCCAGCATCCCCCCACGTGCTACTATCGGCCGTTGCTTGATTGATAGAAACGGCTTCTGAATACGTATTGTGAGCAGCCCTATTTGGTTGCGGCATCGCCGTGCTGGGAGGCGAAAAGTGCCCGCTTGCAGGAGGACAGCACCGGTAGCCTGCGTTCGAGAATGTTTCCAATCAAGCCCAGTCTGGGTTCAACCCATCAGGAGACATCTGGTTGGCTAATAAGAACATGCAGAAACATGCAGAAGACTGTCCGCCAAGGTTCAAGCCCATCGGGGCGCACAAGTGAGCTTTTCGCCTTGCTGCGAGATGCCGATGGCCTCGGTTTTCAGGATTAGTTCAACACTCCCCGGGTGATGGTGGTGTGTGTGTTGCTCAGTCAGTTCGCCGCTATTGCCTGCTGGTTCGCGGAGCAAAAGCTCGTTATCCACTGAGATGGGTTGACGCCGAGGAGGTCCACATAGCGTGTGATACCATAGGCCCTCCCATAGGCTGCCATCCCGTCTTCAGGCTGATAGACACACTCCCAGATGTCGCGGCGATTCGTAAGTCATGAGAGAACGAGTTTAGCCGCGGAGGGGCTGGGAAGCACAAAAGTTCCATGGGTTGCGTCTATCGCGATTGAGATCTTTGTGAAGCAAAAAGCTCATTTCGATCACCGGCATATTGGACTCGTGGCCCCCCTGAACTGCCGGCTAAACGCGGCCACAGGACGAGGGGCTTAGACGCCGTACAGCGCCAAGTTATCAGGAGGAATGCTCGTGACCCCTATTGTGTCAAGCTAAACAAAGCCACAGCCTGATCATCACCTTTGTCCCGCTGTACGATGGAGTTGTGCCGCTCGGTATCCCACTATCGACTCAACCACGAGTCTGACACGGCAGAAGCTCTCACGAGGGCATCAAAAGGTACCTTTGGATGATCTTACTTCTTGGCGTCTGGCGGATTGCTGAGATGCGGAGTTGCCGCTTGGTAACTAAGCAGACGGGAGAAAAGAAAAGTCCGGATCAGAGCCTATGATGAGGTGATTAACAGAAGGGGAATGGACGGAAACGAGAGAGAGCGCCAGACACAAGAGAGACTGAGAGAAACGATTGATACAAAACTATCTACCATAGCCTGCGTCCCGGTGTTTATTCCCCGCTTCTTGTTGGGAAAAACGAAAACTCGGGGGTTGGAGATGTCGGAATGTCCCTGTTTGGGAGGCGGTGACGCATCCACAGAGATCCTTCAGACCAGTGTTCCTGAACAGCCGCTGACTCAAGGGTTCAATCCACTTTCCAAGTTCCTGAATCGGGATTCAACAATACATAGCCATCTCAAAGTAGCAAGAGAAGTAAAAAGAAGAAGAAAAAGAGGAAAAGACAAAAAAAAAGACAAAAACATACAACACCAGGGGTTCGCTGGTCGTCACCGACCCAGCTACTAATCCAGCGCTCACCTGGTTATCAATCGGAGATCAGACGGGATCCAGATTTCTCAGGTGGCTGTGGTCGTATGTGCTTTGACGACAGAGGAAATCCCCTTGTAAGTCTTTCAAAAGGTGAAAACTGACCATTCTCTTTTTGGCCCCGCGAACTGCATCTCTTATACATCTCGAACTTGCTCACATTCGAACTTGGAGGCATGTCTTGAGTTTGAAGCCAGATGGGCCGTCCCGTCGTCGTGTACAGCTTTTTGACCAATATGGCATTTAATCGATGGGGAATGGGACTGATGGGGTAGGGGGAGGTTAACAGTTGTTAGATATGACAAGCCGGCCTGCGCTGAACGGTCAAGGGGTGGAAGAGAAACACAGGTCTTGATCGACACCCTTTCAGTGTAAGTTCAAGTGGTCGACCCGTGTGTCTTTTTCCACCGCGTGGCAGTTCTTCACCTCGTCCTTACCCTTCCATCCCAGTATTGGCGTCTTTGATGGGAACCATATCCATGGCCGGATTGTTAGAGCGGCCGTGGTGGCGTATTTGAGATTAACAAGAGGAGGAAACTAATAGTCGATGGGGAAAATGTTCCTTCAGAGTGAGGGTAGAAATCGGGCATGAAGTCAGGACTACGTCACGAAAGGTAGTAGATAGCTGATATCATTTAGCCTTTCAAGTTGACCTGTGTTGAATGGGAAGCAAGATATGGGATCCCAGGCTCACAAGCAGTAAATGAGGTAACGATGAGGTGTACACGGCGCATGGCTTGCAGGCCGCCTGTCTGTATAAGACTAGAGACACCCATGGCCTCTGATCCAAAATCTCAAGCTTACCCCATGTTTGGTCAACTCATGCAATTAAAACCTGTTTCCAAATGATGCCAGACCAACACGAGATCCAAAACATTCTGGCATACGAGTTTCGAGACTTTGAACTCGTCTCGGAGGCATTCCAGGCTCCCGGGGCGGGACAGTCGCTTTCACGCGACAACGCCAGAAGGCATGGAAACAAGGGCCTCGCACAGATCGGGGATGCCGTGCTCCGACTCGTCATTATAGATGATGGTATCATGGAGGGGGCAAGTACTAGTGGGTTGAACCCCCTTGGTTTTTGGCCTAGAAGATAATCTTCTCTTGTTAACCCTAGATTTTATGCAGAACAGTGTCATGATACCCATGAGGCAGAGGCGTCCAACGCGGCGCTGGAACAAAAAATGAAGGAGTGGGACATTGCCCCGTTCGTAAAGGTACCAGGGTCTTGTCAGGGAGAAATATCTCGAGTCACTGGCGCTTCCACGATGGAGGCGTTGGTGGGGGCCGTGTGGATTGACTCCAATCGCGATTATGGAGTTGTTCGTCGCGTCCTTCATCATCTCGGCATTGCTCCCAATGTTCATGCACAATAACGGAGATGGGGAGGAAATGCATATGAGTTGGTGGTGGCATTAAAAAGACGTCTGTTTCTTGTCTTGTAACACTTTTTTGTGATTGTGGTGAGCTCCCGAGTTGAAAGAGGGCAGAAGAGCACCCCACATCATCAACCGAATCATCATCATTATCGTTCATTTTCTCATCTGAACGGTTCTTTGCGCAAAAGCTTTCCTCCACATCTCAACGTTTTTTGATGTCTCAGTGTCTTGATGTCCCGTGATGTTTTGTTGTTGTATTGCTGTGTTTCGCCTTCCGAAATCGTAGGCCCGTGATTTGCTCGCCCAAATCTCGCTTAGTCATACAACCTTTAAGAATTTGACGACGTCATGTCTCCCAAAGCAAGTTTCCATCCTCCCTTCAAAAGAGAATCCATGAGCGACGGGGCTCTCACGTAAATCACCGCCAAACTCGCCAATTACCCATAATAACAGATAAAAAGGATAAATCAAGAACATGGCAGAAAAGTCCATTACAGATCGTCTCAGTGAATGGGGTTGTAAGTCTACCAATTCATCAAACCCAACTCCCCCCATCTCACGCACCCAACCTTCACTCAATCCTTTTTTTTACTCCCTTCACTCATCCCCTTCACTCTCTTCACTCATCTCATCCTCTTCACTCAACATCACGACAATCATCATCATAATCACACATACAAGAAAAAGAAAAAAAAAGAAAAGAAAAAGCTAACTCAACCTCCCCCAGCATCCTCCCTCCCCCCTCCCTCCTCGCAACCCTCGTCACCGCCCTGCACGCCCGCCCCCTCCAGCTCCTCCCCCTCACCCTCTTCACCCCCACCCTCCTCTTCTCCTCCTACCTCAACCTCTCCGGCTACCCGACCGCCAGCGCCGGCCTCACGGCCGCCTGGTCTGGCCTCTACGCCCTCCTCGCCTTCCGCAGGCGGCAGACCCTGCGCAACAAGTTCACCATCCGGGGCGCCGTCCGCGGCTCGGCGATTGGCCTCGGCGCCGCCAACAGCGTGGCCGGCGGGTGGGTATACTTTCACGGGAGCGCGGAGAAGGATCGGCAGCAGAGGATTGAACGGAATCGATGGGGACAGTTTAATGAGTGAGGAGGTTGTTGTGTCCTGTTAGAAAGGGGTCATGGATTTACACCTTGCGACACTTTTGTATAAGATAATTATACGATGAGTGCGGACGGAACAAGAAGACATGATACAGTCACTATATAGTGACATATTGCATACAAAAACCAAGGAAACATGAATCAGACATCGCTGTTATAGACTCAGACACCATGAAATAATTTTACTACTTTCATTCGCCAGACATGATCTGGGATCCCGCAATGCGGGCGCTCTTTCTGAGCAAGATGTGCTCGACCATGTCCTCAAACCACAATAGGGCGAGCTGGTCTCGACACGATCCGCTACCGGTTTGAACACCAGGCATCTATGCTGAGATTAATACAATACTGGTTGACAAACAAAATCCAAAATCATTTCCTATACTCCGAACAAAGAAAACAAAGGAGAAAAAAATACAGTATCCTGTAGAAGCAATTGCCCAGGTCTGCTGTGCCCGGGTTGCTCGTGTATCACCACCCTTTCTGTTAAACGCCGCTGCCGAATCTTTCAGCTCTTGAGTTTTCTTCGGCCCCATTAAACCCTTTCAAAGTGTGAAAGCAAAACAATAAAAACATAAAAAAGTGTACCATGTCTGTAATACCCTTGTAACCGGTTGGAGAAGTCTCCATTCATGCAAAACTGCCGTTCAAAATCCGTGGCAAACCAAGTCTATACCTGTAGTATCCCTAATCAAGTATTCGTGATGTTTTTGGTCGACTTTTTTTTTTTTTTTTTTGGCTTAGTCAAGACCGAAGGATGAAGATGGATATGAGACGTCATGTCCCACTAGCACGTGCCGGTACTAGACATATTGACCTCAATTAGGTCCTCGTTCTTGCGTCGTAATCATTTGAGAACCGGATACCGTCCATATGACGACAACAAAGGTCGAGAAGAGCAGGGTCCTCAGAAAGGACCTTACTTGCATAGGGGTAAAACGTAATGATTGTTCGCCGACGGGACGCACTGACGTTGGCTGAAATGGCGTCAATTGGAACGAGGTGATGTAGTCGACATCGCACTCGCGAATCTTGGGCGTCGCATAGGTCTTGTACTCGTCGAGGACCTTGTCGATATTCCAGCCCGAAATCTTGCGTACAAGGGCGACGACACAGCCGGTACGATGCTTGCCGTGATTGCAGTGGATCATGAGAGGATAATTCCTCTGGTCGAGGACGAGATTGAGAATTGAAGTCATGGTGCTGAGAGGGATGGCCTCCTTTTTCGTTCCCTTCATGTTGAAAATGACCTGACGGACGCCATTGGTTGTAAGGAAGGATTCGAATTCATGATCAATTTCGTCTCTTTTTACCAGTGTCCTATCGAGGGTTAGTCTCCAAGTACAAGGATGGAAAAGTGGAAAATACGCACACCACCGTCTTCAACTTCAAGTCCTGGAGGAAGTCATAGTCCTCAGCCTTGGGATAGCTGCTTCTGTAGACCCCTGGAATGACCAAACCGAAATTGAGTGGTCGTCCTTCCAAGGGAGGTATCGGAAATAGGGGCTGGGCTACTGAGGGCGCCATCAATGATGTGGTGGTCGCTGGGACTGGACGCAGGTTAGTCATGCTGACTGCGAAAGAAAAAATAATAATCAAGGGGTGGGATTTTCTTACCTGACCACTTGTCAACTTTGGGAACCGCTGGCGATGGCTCCTTTTCCGAGGGCTGATTCGTCTCAGAAGGCGAGACAGGAGCTGAGTCCTTGGGAGACAGCCCAATATTGGCTTCCTCGTCGCCTAGTTTCGCCACCTGCTGCAAGTCTTCGGCGGTGCAATTCCGGGAATTCCGTCGAGACAAGCGATTACTATCTTCGCTGTGATGTGTATTCTCATCCACGTAGAGACGTGAATTCCTCTTGGCGGCCATGTTTCTTTTTGTATTTTTATATCGAAGCGGATGGGAAGACTGGGGGGTATCGGTCTGTCGAGCGGGATGGAATAACCTTTGGCGTTGGGCGGCTGGGATGGCAACGGGAGGATGCTTATTTAGGTATGTAGAACGATTGCTGGTTGAATTCTGACTCTTCAATGATTCGAAAGAATCAAAACAAAAAAGAAGTTATAGTTTTCTCTGCGTACGAGGGCTTCGACAAGGTTGAGGTTGTTGGTTTAGACTTTTTGGTATTGCACCCTGTTGGTCAAGCCAGACAGATTGCAGGTTTCGCGTGGGGTGCAAAGGTCCAAAAAGCCTACAGCAGGCTAATGGGTTTAATGGAAGCGGAGAGCTGGATAAGAGAAGCCATCTTGTCTCGAGGGTGAGGTGAATAATGAATGAGTTGAAGAAGAGAGGAGAAGAGACAAACAAGGAGGGAGGGAGGAGAAAGAAGGAGAAGAAGAGAAGAAGACGAGAAAAGGCAGGACCAACTCGGTCAAGAAAATCAGGCACAGCGCCTTCAAGGTCGCGTGGGATGGGATGGTGGGAGTGGGAGTGGCAGATCTCAAGGTGTGAGCGTGGGTTTGGGGAAGTGAGCAAGACTGAGACACGGATCTCTTTGGGAACAGGAACACAAGGGAAAAAAAGAACCCTGGTTTATTTTTTCTTCTTGGTTGGAGGAGG